AGGTGTGCCTGTTTTAATTCCCAGGAAGCATTTAATAATTTCTGGAGACATTTTTAGAGTTTAGAGTTGGGAGACAGTGCTGCTAGTATACAGTGTGTAGCAGCTGTGAAGATCCTTTGTATCCTACAGTGCATAGGACATGTCCTCTACACAAAGAGGTACTCAGCCCCAAATGTCAAGGTTGAGACAGATTGAAGGGCTGGAAGACCTTGCTTTAGATCTGACTTTTTCTTTATTTAGTGTGGAAAAACTCCTGTTGGTAGCTAGATAGTCTCCTTTTGCCATTTGTCCTCTGCCCTGTATTGAGCTAGGGTCAGGGCATCCATGTTTTCAAGGAAGTACCAGTCATATCATTGGCCCTCACAACTTGTATTCTTATCTTCTTCCTTCCTGCTAATCCAAGCCTGCTGGACTGGACTATTACCAGCTTTGTGTTATGAATTGTACTTCTTATCACTTATCACATTTCTGACAACTAAGGAAAATGTGTATTCTCTTCCTACGGGGTTTAAAAGGTGATTTTCATTTTGCTTATTGCTTGAGCCCTTGCCAGCTCTTGATGCTGCACATACTTAATGCTTCATCTATATGGCTTTTAATTATTGAATTGGGATGTGGTCTTGCCATGTTGCTCAGGCTTCCTTTGAGCTCACAATCTTCCTGCTTCAGCCCAAGTGCTGGGATTAATTGTGGGTGCGACCACACCTGGTGATCTGTGTGTATTTTCTACTCTGTGACATTGGCTTCTCTGGTACCTTCTGCTTCTCCACTTGTTAAATTCCAAAGTCCTAGTCCTTTCTCTCGTCTCACAGATTTTCCCTGTTGGTCATCTCTCCACACCAATTAAGGAAACAGAATGCCTCCCCAAATAACACCTGCCTGGAGCTGATGCCAGACTTCAGTTGCCGTCCACATCTCTGTTGGAGACTGTGCCATGGCAAGCCAAGGGCTGTGGTTTGGTTCGACTGCACACGGATTAAAAGGGAAAATACTTTATGACAGTGTTCATTTTAATATTCTACTCTGCAAGAAACATCAAACCCAACTGTCCCCTCATGTGGTATTTGTCAAGTTTACCCTCTGAAGTTGAGGTTTACCCTTGCCACACTTATCAGCCGACAGTATTTCTTTGTTAGTAGTTACCGACTGACCTTTATGATTCTGTTCCAGTTTAATCAAGGTTAACTTCCCTATTTGACCATTGAAAGTCACTTTCAACTTTGTGCTCAGCTCACCAGAACTGAGGCTATTTTGTATTTGAGGATAATATTAGGCACCTAACTCTAATTATCATCCTTTTCTGTTTTTCCTTCATTTAATTAAGCCATGTACTGCATCATCCCACGTATTTGCAATAACCTCTCCTCTTGCACATTTATTCTTTTCTTGTGGAGTCTAAGTATTTTCCATCCATTTCTTCATGTAATCATTAAACTGATTTTACCTGCTTACAGATGACATGATCACTTTCTTTGCTTTCAACCTACAATTTCATTTTGCAGCCCACACAGTCTTACTAACCATGGTGCTCATTATAAATGCATGCTACAATGTATAGTCATTCCATGGACATCATCTCCTTGCTATGTATGAGGCCTCAGGCTGAGGGCCTAAGTACAGTTACAAACAGGTCTTACTCTTGAGAAACTTGTGGCCTATTGAGAAAAGAGAGAGGTGACTGTAAAGTCGTAATGTAAATAATAAATAGGTATGATGAGTAGTGTGCTGTTTGCAGTGCCACATAGTGTGCCCAATAGAGACTGGAGAGCCTCTTCAGATGGTATGTTTGATCTGGGTCCCGGAGCACGAAGAATAGTGTGGTCAGATTTTCTGGGCCTTTTCCCCAAACATTCAATTTGTAGATATGCCTGGTTATTTTTACTACTGACAACTTGCTTAGGCAAGCTGCTCAGTTGGAAGAATTCTACCTTTGAAATTCTTCTTGTTCAATAATTAATCAAATGTCATAAATGTTTTATAGGAGCCCACCTCAGCATTAAGATAAGTAAGCATTATTAGGGCTAAGATAAGCAATTTCTGGCTGCTATGTACACAGAATTGGAGAATATGGTGTTCTAAACACATGGTACAGGATGGATTGTGGTTCAGTGCAGATGCAGGGGTAAAGGTGTTTGGGAACACAGATGAGTTTCACTTTAAATGGAAAATAGCATGGAGGGCTTTCTGGGAAGATATGGATAAAAAGCTTCTTAAAAAGTATGGAGATTGTTTTTTAACAAGTAGTAGAGCGAGGAAAAGCATTTCCTTCAGCGAGAACAGTATGTGTGTCATAGTCAGCATGGGCTTACAAATAGGAAGGCATTGTAGAGTGGATGGCTTACGCACAACAGAATTTAGTTTATACAGCTCTGGAGGCTGGAAATCGAGGATCAGGATGTCATGGATAGGTTCTGTTGAGGGTCCTCTTGTGGGTTACACACTGTTACTTTCTTGTGGTACTCTCACATGGCTGAGAGCTCAGTGATCTCTTGTCCAATCCTTACTGTCATTCAAAGGCCCCAGAAACTTTCTAATACCATTACACCAGAGGGGACATTATTTCCATCTGAATCTTCAGGAAAAACTTTCAGCATACAAGGCAAAATTGCAAGGGCGCTAAGAATGAGGACATGTTTGAGCAAAGATGCAGGATTTCAGGGAGGCTGGGATATGTGTATGAGAGTAGCTGTTTATCAAGATGGGGGGATTGTGGCTCAACCACAGTGAGCATCAGATGCTCACGCAAACACTTTGCACTTCTTCCTGTAACCTGCATAGCATTTGAGCAAGTGAGTAGGGGGAGTAGGACAGTGTAATTGAAGCTGATTGGAGCTTATAATCAGACCTTACTCGAGTTTTGGTAATTGGAAATATCATGAAGTCTAAACTCTTGTTAAAACTTTGTGGTAATTGCCTTGTTTGCAGTGTAAATATAGAGTGTCCATTAATTTTGATACCCATTGGAATGTTTTAATTTGACAGATTTGAACCTGTGAAATTAAAGACACACCATAAATAGCATGCATTTTGATGACTTAGTTTTGTAGCAACTTAATTGGCCCTTTCTCCCACCTCGCTCCTCTGTAGATCTGTTCCTCTCAAGTTTGCATTGTCCTAAGTCAAGCTCTTGTTATTTCTCTCCTACAAACAGGTACTGGCTTAAAGGTCACCTAACTTACATCACAGGATTTGTGCTGTCAAACCAAATATGTAATGTTTTGGCTGGATTATAGCCTGTCTTTGAAATATTCCAAGAGAAGCACAAGATTTGTGACATATGTAACTGGGTAAAATCTAGCTTCACTAAAGTACTTCTATTGTCATGTGTGGACCACCTACCACAAAATAAGCTAATTTGGAAACAGTTATGGCAAAGCAATCTTAGCACTGCCCTTTACTAAGATACATTGTCGGCTTAGTTTTATTACTACAACTTTTATGATGAGATAATTAGTAATTCGATTCACATATGAATTTGAGATAAGACCAGGTGAATAGAAATTGGTCCACAATTGTATATATCTGCGTTATCAAGCAAATATGTGCTTATGTCTAGTTCTTATACAAACCTACTTGAAACATGAGTCATACTATAGTTGTGGTGGCTATTGTTCAGTTGCTTGGAACATTCGACTGAAGTGTGTATGTGTGTTTATATGTGCGTAAATGTAGGCTTTTGAGGTTTATCTGGTGTTTCCTTAAAAGGAAACTCTTTTATTTTTCATTTTAATGGGATGAATGGTTGTTTGGTGTTTCAGTCTAGCTGAAAGCAAGTGTTGCAGTCCTTGATACAGGACTCACTTTGTGCCTGACAGCTTTCTCATGTGAGAAATGTGATTCTTGCTAAATCTCTTCTAAGCTTCCCAGGCACAAAGCATATTACTGTAAACGAAGAGGACAGGAACTTCCTGAGTTATAAATACATAAAATACATAGCCATATGAAAGGCCCTTGTGGAGGGGCTCCCCTGGTATGTTGAGCCAAAAATACTGTCTGGCCTGTTCTTCCCCCTCTTCTTACTGATGTTGCCTTGGGAATTGGAAGCTCAATAATGACTCAGAGTGGTTTCTGTTTTGTTTCTTTCTCAGGGACAGCCATATGTGGTGCCATGAATACTATGCTTCTTAGGAATGTCTCTCCCAGTCAGGACCATATGACTTCATACCACAGAGTTACAACTGTCAGTCAGGAGCATTTCCTGTGTTAACCTCTTCTCCTATTTTGCTTACTAGGATCGTACACTTTTCCCATAGATAGCACGATAGTATATAATATCTATCAGTTTCCAAATGCTATCTTGAGCTTTTAAAGTTAGGAATGAAACACTGGTATTTGTTAGGAAGAAATTGACGTTAGTAGACAGAATAAAAGTATGCGTCAGCACTTAGTAAGTGACTTATGAATGGCTGGGATTTATACACAGGAAGGGTTAATAATATGGGACAAAATAGGCTAGGAACTGAGTCACTAAGAACGTCTTCCTGTTCCTTTATGTGTGTGTGTGTGTGTGTGTGTTCATGTGTGAGACTCTCACACTTGCCAAGGGGCAAATATTCATTTAGAATTGCAAAAAAAAAAAAAAAACACTTTAGCATTCAGGAAACCATGGATTTTAGTATGTACAGGTTCAGAACTTCCACATATATCGGGCTTAAATAAAAGTTTAAGACATGGGTCTGTTTCATTTTAAGGAAGTATTTGCTACCAGGACACAATAAGTTAATAAACAAAATACAATTGATTTGTAGAACACTATCTTAAATTTCAGTGCTAATTATCACTACACTGTTGTTTTCTAATGTCCAGTACATTGAACAAAGCCATTTTTAAATAGTACTAATTGGGTTCATATATTTCTTGAAGATGTGTTTATGAATGAACACTGCTGTTTAGAGTTGAAACAAGTTTAATATTAAGTTGTATTTCCCTAGGCATATGTTGGATGAGAACAATGAAAGTATTTTGAAGGCATTAGAAATATAGTTCCCATTTCCTTTAATGTCCTCATACCTTTTCATCTAGATTTCTCTTTATGCAGATTTGTTAACAGTCATTGAACCATTTTGCTTCAAAGTCACCAGGAAAGCTAGCTAAAAAATGTAGATTCTAGAGCAGCATGAATCTAATGAACCAGAATTCAGTAGTGCGGGCCCCCAAGAATCTGCATTAATAATCTGCCTAGGTGATTCTGTACTATACAGTGCGACATCCACTGATGTCTTAGACGGTTTGCAAAATGGTAGTCCTGCAAGTCATTTCTAGCTCACAGATTTGGTTTGTTTGACTTTCAGTGTTGACTTTAAAGTTTTGCAATCTTTAAGAATTGGGAGTTCACGTACAAACCAAATTTCTCGGTTCTCTTGAGTCATCAGAACATGTTTACAGTAATGGCTCCATGTTTCTTCCTGGGTTGTAGTAATCCACTCCATACAAATGAAATCTGTGAGGGGGGCATGTGCTCTAGTGTTTAACACTCTCCCCACCCCCTAACCTGCATGTCAGCCTAAGTCAGTTAACTGATACTTATTTCTCTACAGCTGACCCACATCATACATACTCAGAATTTTTATGCATTCAGGTCTTCAGCTGCAGGATCCATATATTTCAAATAGTGAGGAGAAATGTTTGCAAAGAGGTGAGATAGGTGGTTGGAAATATAAGAGAAGTTAGAGTCCTAGAGAAATGAGCCTCCGATGCTGGGCACTGAGCCTCTTGAGGGGGAAAAAGAAGAGTATTTGGGAATGAACAGTGTTAGTGATTGACTGAGTTTGGGGTAGGAACTGGATGGGAGTCTGAAGAACAGTGCCATGTCCTGCACAGCTCCAGGGACAGACCTGACTAGGGCAGCAAGAGAATGAAGACAGATAACACAGACACACAGGAAAGCCCGGGTAGGTGGTTTGGTCTCTCTGATGGAAAAACCACAGCATCCTGGAAGCTCAGTGTGTTTATTACATGCAGTTGAAGAGAGAAGAGGGCTTATTGCACACAGCCGGACAAGGAGGTGGAGTTACTACATACAGTTAAGCAAGGGGCCAGGGTTTATGACACACAACTAAATCAAGGATGACAAGTTTAGCTAATCTCAGTGGGAGTAGTCTCTGTAGGGGAGCAGATTTCAGATTATAAATATCTGAGGGGAGAAAGCTGTGGTGGACACTTTCTGCTCACACTATCAATATCTATACATGGACCACGGTAAGGCTTTGCCAGCCCTCTGGGCCTCACCCCAGGGGTTGGAGAGGCTTTGCCATTCCCATAGGTCTGAGGCTGTGGGTTCCTTGGTATGGCCCATGGCTGTGTCTGTGTCAACAGCACACACCCTTCAACACTTGGCTCATGCAAGGCTTTTTCTTCTCCCTACAAACAGGCACGGTATAATGTTGGGAGGTGAAGTTGATGAAAGACACAGGACAGTAGGTGGCTGTGAGACATCACTGCTCGGTACTGAGATGTTGCTTGCTGTGGAGGGTGGATGCTCTTCTGCGTTGGAGAAGTTGATTCCTGGATGGAGTATATGAGAATCTCCTGAAGATATGTATGAATTGAAAAAGTGTGCTAAAAAACCTCTACTGTCTTTTTTAATGCAAGCAGGAGAAAGAAAAATATCTACTCAATTGTAGCTGGCAAGAATAGACAGAAAACAGTGTGTCCTCTACCTTAAGCTAACTAGGGCAGAGATACATACAGAGTCCCTGTGTGGAGGTGTTTGCAATTTCCCTCCAAAGGGGTTATAGATTAGCAAAGATTGGCAATTGCAGTAGGACACCATGATGACACAGTGATTTAATAAGAGCAGCTTCTTTCTGGCAAATCTGAAGTTTATCTTCTCTTTCCCTTTATCTTTTCTGCATTTCAAATGCTGCTCTGTGTGTATTCTTTAATCTGCAGACTCTGGGAGCATGCTGTATTGTAAGAAGTGTTTGCCAGACTTTTTTTTTGTTTCTGTTTTTATCTGCAAGAAATTGTTTCTTTGGGAACATGTTCTGAATGGAGGTTGCTTTCCCAGGGTAGCAGCACCCCCTTTTCGAATCCTACTTAATCTACATTGCAGATTAGCTGCTTTATTAATAGCATCAGCCTGATCTGTGGAAGCAGACGTGTGCCATATGGTATAGGAACAAAGAAAAAGTCCCTTTCTTTCTGCTAGATTCTGGGCTGACCCTAATCTATATTTTCAAATCAGTCGGTTTATCTTTGTGCTTCTCTAACTCTTCTTTCGTATCATGGTGCTCTCTGTTTAGAGGCTGCTCCTCTTGCTGTGACTCCCACTCCAACAACTTGCTACTTCTTCATTGTCCCCAGTTACATGGCCATTTCTTCTTTCCAAACTCTTCATCTCTGTGTAGTCGCTTAACTCTTAATTATGAGGAAAGAACTTGGTTATTTTAAAAATCACCTTTTGTGGTATATGGACATAAATGCAGGAAAATATCAATATGCATAAAACGTAAAATAAAATTAAAACATCTATATCGAGACAGTTTTTATGTAGAATAATCTACTCAGTGACACATTTTCTGTTCATGCATCTAATCGAGGTTGGCTTTTTTTCTTTTCTTTTTCCAGGTAGGGTTTCTCTGTGTAATAGCCTTGGCTGTCCTGGAACTCACTTTGTAGACCAGAGTGGCCTCAAACTCACCGAGATCTGCCTGTTTCTTAATTGTGTTTCCTTTGGCTTCCTCAGCCCACTGTATCTTCAACATGATTTATCTGATGTTTAATTCACTTTGTTGCTGTTTTATTTTATTTTTGTGAATTTCATATACAATTCATGATGGCTAAGTTTGCTTGTCAAGTTGACACATTTGGGAAGAGGTAACCACAATTAAGGAATTGGCTTTATTGGATTGCCTGTGGGTATGTTTATGAGGCATGTTTTTTCTCCAGATGATAGAAAAAGACCAGCCCAATGAATGTGATGAATACCATCTCTCAAAAGCTAGCTGAGCATTTCAGATGAGCAAGCCAGTAAGCAGCACTCCTTTATGGTCTCTGTTTCAATTCTTTCCTCCTGCATTAGCTCCTCAATTATAGAAAGAAACCCTGTCCTCCCTAAGTTGCTTTGAATTGTGATGTTTATTACTGCATAGAAAGAATTTTATATAGGAAAGATATATTATATAAAATATATATTATATAAATTA